TCCAGGAATCGAGGTCGAAGCGAAACCGCGCGCGCGTTTCAGTCTATGAGGAGGCTACGGTAGTAGTCAAAGGGAGCACGTTAATTAACCGGCTACAGACTGCTATAGACTGACACTGTAGATTCTCTCTCTCTCTCTCTCTGTCTCTCTCTGTAAGCTATAAAGTGTAAATTTATCGCGATGGGTAGCACGCGTTCGCAGCCTTTTCAGTTGCGTCATTCTCGGATATCTTCTATCTTCTCTCCCTTCCGTTTCCTTGCCGTATCTCCGCCTGTCAGAATCCGATCGTTACGTAACACACCTGGATGCTTCGTCTTTGTCGACGATACGAAACTATAAAATAGTATAAAATGACAAAGAAATGATGCCGCAGTTTTATCGCTCTCGTCGTCCATCTGTGAACAAATGGCTGATAAGAAGCTTCGAAAACTTTCTAAATCTTCGATTGTTCTTTATTTTGTTTGAAACTTGTTAATTCGGTGGTAATTTGTTACCATCTTGGCTAATTCGGCTATCGGCTGACCTAGAATATTCGACGATACCGTCTATCGTCAAATATCTCGTCTCCACAAATTCCACAAAAAAAGTTAATAATAGCGTTCTGTTTTTTCTTCAGAAATGTTGTTAGCATCCGCATTTACATACGCATTTTATGCCTATGTCGGTTCATCGTTTTTTCGTCGGAAATTAATTAATGGCAACAGAATTGACTCGACTGATTGATACGAACCGATCGAGGTGGTATCCGAATTCGAATCTATCGGCTAAGGCGGCTCGTCGAAAGTCACCGGAAAAGATAATTAAATTAAAAGAAACATTTTGCAAAACTTGCTCGCCGAGGAAACTTTCTTCCAGGCGAACGTTTACTTTCCAAGTAAACTTGCTCGTTCCAAAGAAACGCTTTAATTTTCCATTGTTTGCACTCGCTTCCGCTGCGAGAGAATTTCCTTCCTCGAGAGAGCTTGTTACCATTCTTCATACCACTCTTTGCTGATCAAAGATCGAAAGGAATCCTCGAAGAGGATTCGTACATTGCAGATGATTGATGTTTTTTATAGTATTTTATCGAAATACTGTCTTTCAGCCGGCGATCAATCACGATCGAGTCTCGGAGACTTTCGTGACTCAACGAGTCTTACACGTCTTCTACTTTCACGAGCTGTTGTGCAGGAAATTGCACGTGCATTGCAGGTGTAAATGAAAACAGTCAACTCAAAGCCAGATCCAATCAACGAGATAACGTTTCACGCTGATCTGATCACGCTGATCGGCAAAACTCGGCGAGGCCTGTTGAAACTGTGGCTTCTCTCGCGCGTCGTCGCCTTTCTCCTTGTCTTGTCCTGAAATTGAACGTCTTTCAACGTTACGATCTCGCTGCCGTAGAGGAATCGCAATCAACCGATTTTCCTGCTTTCAGGAAGAGATGGAAGTCCGGCCTCGAATCTCCACGCTGCTCAACAGCCTGTCAGACTATAGCAACACGATTCCAGCCGCGACCGATCCGGATGCCAAAACGCCACCTGTTCAGGGCGGAGCGCGAATGGGCACCCTGATCGGTGTCTTCCTCCCCTGCATCCAGAACATCTTCGGTGTGATTCTCTTCATTCGTTTGACTTGGGTCGTTGGTACCGCTGGCGCCATTCAAGGTTTCTTCATCGTGCTGTGTTGTTGCTGCGTGGTGAGTTGACAAAGACAGACGCTGGCAGACTGACGAACGGTCAACTCTGTTCTCCCTCCTTTCAACTATTTTTTTCCCCTTTTTCTTCTTTTTTTCGAATGTTCTTCGCTCTCTGCCTGTACGCTACGCAGACGATGCTGACGGCCATCAGTATGAGCGCGATCGCGACCAACGGCGTGGTGCCAGCCGGCGGCTCCTACTTCATGATATCCAGAAGCTTAGGCCCAGAGTTTGGTGGCGCTGTGGGGATGCTCTTCTACACGGGTACCACCTTGGCCGCTGCCATGTACATCATCGGTGCCGTGGAAATTGTCTTGGTAAATAATCTGTCAACGATCATTATCATTCTCTTCTCTTTTCTTTTTTCTTTTTTCTTTTTTCTTTTTTCTTTTCGTTTCGATTCGTATCGACCCAACTGTAATCTAGTCGCAAGACACTCACTCGCTTACTTTGCAGCAAGCAAACGAGAACATCCGTGTTTGATTCTCTGCTCTTTAAAATTTCTTTCCATTAAAATCTCCGTAGACTTACATGGCGCCGTCGCTCAGTATATTCGGAGACTTCACCAAAGACCCGAGCATCATGTACAACAACTTTCGAGTGTACGGGACCGGCCTGCTGATGGTAATGGGCACAATCGTGTTCGTCGGCGTCAAGTTTGTCAACAAGTTTGCCTCGGTCGCCCTAGCCTGCGTGATCCTCTCCATCGTGGCCGTCTACGTGGGCTTATTCTACAACATCTACGGCAACGAATCCCTCAAGTACATACCACTCCTCCTTCCCCTTCTTCCCTCCTCCGCCCCCCCCCC